AAATAGAGATAGAATGATGAAAAAGGGGTCCCTATGTCCTCCAGCAGTCTAAGCCTATAGCAGCATAACTATAGAGATAGGATAACCTGAGCCACTCTGACTATAAGCTTTATCAAAAAGGAAGTTTCAAGCCTGAAAGTAAACAGGGTGTCTGCCTCACAGAATGTTTAGCATAGTCTTTAAATCCGAACCACTGTTAATATTCTTAAACTAAGACCAATTTAAAACTACTTTACTGTTGAATAGAAAGTTGTTGTTTTTTTAGCATGCTGAATAAGCAGTTTATTTACTGTTTTTAGCTTTGTTTTGATGACTAGCAGGTACATTTATGTCCTGAACAGAAAGTTGAGGCTGATAAAGAGGAATCTCTGCTGCTGTTTTAGTGAAAGTTCCCCTCATCTTCTGTTACCTTAGCCTTTTTCTGTGTGTTAATGACAGTGCAGAGGTGGCATCATGTCCGATCAGAGCCTTTTTTGCTGTGTAGGTGTCTCCCTGTCTGCCGGTACTGTCCAGGCTGTTGTTTAGCAGCGACCCAGACTTGCTGGCAGATGCCTGCTGGGCTCTTTCCTACCTCTCAGACGGCCCCAATGACAAGATCCAGGCTGTCATCGACTCCGGTGTCTGCAGGAGGCTGGTGGAGCTGCTCATGTAAGCTTGGGCTACACGCCGCCTGTTGGCTCATGTTTAAATTGAAGCTGCGAAAGGCTGTAACTTCTCCTCTCTACAGGCACACTGACTATAAGGTGGCCTCTCCTGCCCTGAGAGCTGTGGGAAACATCATCACTGGAGATGACATTCAGACTCAGGTTGGAGTCATAAATACCCCATGTTTCCTGTAGGCTTATAACTGTTTTTGGAGGGGTGGGTTCCACTTTAGATAGAACAGAACCGGCTTGTAGTGAGGAGTTCCAGCGACTGTCATTCATTAATGTACCAGAAGATGAGAGCGCTAAATCGTAATAAAAAATGTGTTCTCCTGTTTGTGTTTAGGTGGTGTTGAACTGCTCAGCTTTACCCTGCCTGCTGCACCTCCTCAGCAGCCCTAAGGAGTCTATTCGTAAGGAAGCATGCTGGACCATTTCCAACATCACAGCTGGAAACCGAGCACAAATACAGGTGACCTTTACACACGCTGACCCAGAAACCAGCCTTAGATTGACGCTGGATGTCTTGATTATCTCTTTAATGAATATTAGAACCCATATTGCTTTTATTAAAGCTACTTTTCCCCAAATGACAGCTAGGAGGTGATTTCTTTCAGCAAAAATAAACTACCTTTCCACAGCATTCCCTCTCTAAACAGTTTAAATGGAGTTTGGGGTTTTATGGGATTGAAATAACACAGATTGAAGCTTTTCTGGGAAGTTGGTGTGAAATGATTTATGGTTCTGCACATTTTCCCCAAAGAACCCTAAAGAAAATGTGGTTTGCAGGGGATGAGATAGAAATGTAAATTCCCTTCTTTCATGGTTGTTTGGTGGAAAACTAAGCTTTCAAGTCTCCCTAAATAGTCTGACCCCCACTGAGAGACACTGTGGTGGCGGCGCGGCGCTGCGCTGTCCTTCAGCAGAGACCAGGGAGAAGGTCAGACTTGATGGGGAGATGAATGAAGCTAATTAAAGCACAAAGTTGGAAGAAAACCTGTTAAAGGGTAAAAGAAGTAGGTCTGTGTTTAAAGAAAAAAAAAAAAAAGGGGGGGGATTTTCCAATCCTGCATTGATTCTTATATATATTCTTAAAGATCCATTCATAGAACCAATCATGGATTTGAAAAATGCATTTTGTACTTTGCTTTTAGCCACCTTTAACCACAGTCAATATTAATATAAGACCAGATTCAATATGTTGTCTAACTATACAAACAAATATAGTTAATAACACAAATCCAATTTCAGAAAGGATTGGATCTAGAAAGTAGGATCTAAGTCGATTATTGTAATTTGAAATGATACCAAATCCTAAAAATAAGTCAGATTGAGAATGAGCTCGCAGTTTGGCAGCATGTCAGAATGGCCTAAAGCCCAGAATCCAGTTAACAATCAGTGGCAGAACTTACAGGATGCTCCATCCATCCTGATGTTTTTCCACCCATGAACGTTTCTGCAAATAGGAATTTTTAATAGGGTTAAAAACTCAAGTCTCTGGACGAAGTAAATACTCCCCAAAAGACTCACAATTTGTTCCAGGAGCTACAGATGTAGTGGTGTGACCGACTACAGCTGCACACCTTTAATAAAATGAATTTTCACATCATTTGTAAACTCTTAGAATGACCGTTTTTAGTCCAGGTGAAGGAAATCATTAACGGGAGTCATATAACTAATTAATTTAAATATTCTAAATGTATCTGTTCAGTATGATTCCTGTCTGATTTATGACTGAAGAACATAAAGTTAACCAGTTTGAGATGCTGCTTCATGACCCCTAACCCAGATTTTCTGTTCCTTTCTAGACGGTGATTGATGCCAACATCTTTCCAGTCCTGATTGAAATCTTGCAGAAAGCAGAATTCAGAACCAGGAAAGAAGCAGCCTGGGCTATCACCAACGCTACATCCGGAGGAACACCGGAGCAGATCAGGTAGGACTGAGATTAAAACCAATCCATGGTTCAGGAAGGGAAATGCTCTTTGTTCTCTATTTATAAACAAGTTGGTTAGAAATAAGTGCGGCTCCAAAATAAAACACCGGATCTCCATATTTCATGTTTTAAAAGGAGATCAGAACCAAAATAAAAATAGTCTCTTAGAAGACCTAATAAAATTCAATTAAGTTTGATCATACTCCAGATTTAAAGGATTTATTTCCATAATTAATAAAAAGGTTCAAATGTAAATGCTGATTTAGCACTGCTAGGTTCATGGGTATTACATGATTAGTTCACAGATAAAAAATGGTAAATAAAGGGGGGGTCCTATAAGTGAAAGAGCTTATTCTTAGTTTATTATGTTTCCTCCTGTTTGTATTCAGGTATCTGGTGAACCTGGGCTGCATCAAGCCTCTGTGTGACCTGCTGACCGTGATGGACTCTAAGATTGTTCAGGTGGCTCTCAACGGTCTGGAGAACATCCTGAGGCTCGGCGAGCAGGAGGCCAAGCAGGAGAACAACGGCACCGGCGTCAACCCTTACTGCAGCCTCATCGAAGAGGCCTACGGTACGCACTCGTTTATCACCTCTAAGCTGCTGACATTCATTTGAACAGATTTGGATTAAGGAACAAAGTTTTTATTTTACTTTTTTTTGGGGGGGGGGAGAGTAAATTCTCTTTTAGGCAAGTCATGAGATTTTCTTTTAAAGCGGGTCATATTTTGAAATCAGTCTATCTGATTCATGATATGTGCTGCTGATATTTGCTTTCTCTTCTTCCATTTAGAAATTAAAATTAAAATGATACGCAAGTTTAACTACAAATCGTAAATAATGGATACTAAGTGAAGGGGGTTTTGATACCTAAATAATGAATCGGCCATCAGCTTGGAAAAACTTGGTAATGTTGAGTTTCACTCCTTCTAGACATGAGTTTTAAGGGCCGCCCTGTGGACCATGACGATGTTCAAATATTGCTGTGCCAGTTTAGCAACACGAGGAAAAGGAAATCCCCAGGACTGGGCTCTCCACCTCTAAGCTCCTCTGACAGTGTCTTAACAGACTCTGTGCTGTTGTTGCTTTGTCTCTTAAAAATAAAAAGCTGAACCAGGACCTTTTTCTTTTTTTTTCCCTCTTCTGAAAGAGACTATCTCTGCTGATTGACTTCCTGCTGCTGCTGCCATGTCAGTGACTTACTCCTTGGCCATTCCTCAGTATGCATACTTGTGCGTTCTCTGCAAACATTAGCCTCAGCACTGTTCCAATTCACAAGACCGATAATGAACAAAATCCTTGGATGTTGTTCTTACCCCTTGCTCTTTGCTTGAGCACACATCAGAGCAGACTAGTCCGTTTTTGAGATTGACAGCCGTCCCAGCATGCACCGCGGCAGCAGCTTCCAGCGGAGCGCTGACAGACCTCAGAGTATTAAGTTAAAAGTTCTCTTTTCTGTTTCCGTTCTATAAAACTACGTTTTTAGATCATTTAAGGCAAGAACACTATACTTTTAAACGTCACTATATGGCCCATTTAATGTCTTACTGCTTAATTTGAAACAAAAGTTCTGATGTTGAAAGGACTGTGGCAACCAGCGGAACGCCGCGGCTAACTGCAGCCAAGGCTAACGTTAGCCCGTCTGCAGCAGCACTCTCTTCGCATAGCTGTGTTTGAAGTACCGCTGGCTCTGATGTTGATTGTTTGTTTGGGAAAGTGCTCATTTGATTTGTGTTTATCTGACTGTGTTCATTATAATTCCCCCACTAAATGAAAAAGTAAGAATCTATTATTATCTTAAGGAATATTAATAACAGGAGGTGAAATGCAGCTACAGACTAGCTTTGAAAATGGTGACGCCACGTGGACGCTTCTGTTCCAATCGACCCAAATTTATAATTTAATGTACTCCCATTCTCCTTGAGTCCATACTTTCCTTACTTGGTGAGGACACGAGTCCGTACTCATGTTCTTGTGAATCAAGAAACAGCCCTTATTTCTTTGGCTGCTTTCGTTGGGAGGAATTCCACTTTTTCAGTGTTTAGATCTGAATACTTCTTTTTCAAGTATTCCAGGACGTTTTTCTTTACATGGTTGGTCAGCTGAGGGTCCTTTATGGAGTCAGAAAGGGGGCAAAATGTTAATAATAAATCTTAGTTGAAACTGAAAAATTTAAAGTTAGAAAAGAAGAAAAATAGATGTTTATATTGAATGTCAGATTTTTGCCTTATAATCTGAGAAACTAAAAAGTAAACATAAAATGATAAGAGTTGAATCTAAATTCTTCTCTCCAGCGCTGCTACTAGCTGTCAATCATGTTTACCCCCCGCCCACTCCTGTCACATCGGGGTCGAAATTTGAATGTAAATTTTTTTTTTAAAAATCCTGAAACTGAAAAAGGATTTTGAAAATAAAAGAGAAATCGAAAGAAATTTATTTGAATCTGAAAATATAAAATGTAAAACTGCAATAAAGAAAATGACTAAAAAATTAATTGTGTAATTAAAATACTAAACTGAATTTAGATGAAATTATTTTTGCTTTTTAGTCTCACATTATAAGGTAAAAATCTGACATTAAATATCAACTTCTATTTTTTTTTGTTTCAAAAGTTTACAGACATTTTGACCCCTTTCTGACTCCATAGTCCTTCTCTTCTGTAACGATGCTTTTATCAAACAGGTGGAGAACAGGCTTCAAGTAGGACACACTTGCATAATGTTCTCCTGAGAGGGCATCAGTAAAGGGCTGAACACTTCTGCCCATTGTGGAAGCACAGACATCAGTCAAAGGAACATAATATTAAAATGAGTACATCAGCCTGATTTTCAGTAAAACAGCATCTTTATTTTTATTTGTTAGGCCTTTTTTTTTTTTCATTTTTGATGGTAAGCAGGATAACATGGGATTGGAGAGAATGCAGCAAAGGTCACTAGGCGGGGACTAACGCCTGTGACGACCGTGTCGAGGACCAAAGGCTCATATTATGGGTCACATGCTCAACCCCTACGCAACCGCTGGTCCCAAGGCGACTTCTTTTTAACATAACGGACTGCTGTGTTGAAATACGTTGGCGACAACCCTGATTATGTATAAATATAAATGGTTTGTATCTAAAGCCGGGCATACATTGTGTGATTGGTTCTCTTGTTGCATGCAGCAACAGCTTGCACTGTACGAGGAAGCCACAGGGCTTCTAAAAACCATGTCGGACTCAGCTCCGCAGTGAGGTGGTTCTACTCTGACCCGTCTATCAAGTCAAACCTCACTAGAAGCTCACTAGAGAGAAATGCGCTGCCTTGGCAATTTTTGCAATTTTGTGCTGAAAGCCCTAAAAAGAAAAGGCAACGACGTACTTGGACAAAGTCATAGCTGAGCCAACGTGGCTCCTATGGTCTGTCAGTTTTACAGAAAGAACTCCATTTCACTACTTGCAGTTCCGCCATGCTTCTGTGTTTTTGTCTGAGAGGTAAAAGAATCCTTGTTTGCTCACCGAGCGATTTGCCCACGGCAGCCGACTGAAAATGAAACGTGTTTGATTTTCTCCCGACCTCACGATTCCTGATCGGAAGGTGGTGGTGAGAGGCTGATCGCCCCTGGTTACCTCCTGAACACTACATACAGTATATGCCCGGCTTTAGAAAAAAAAACCACTTAGAGTTAAATGGGTTTACAGGCCTACAGCTGACATGAACAGACAAGGCGCCACCTACTGTTTTATAGCTGAACTACCAGAAAGTCAGATGGTGGCCTTTGAAGCAGTTCTTTAAAAAATCCCCTCACAAAAAGGCAAAGATAACGACACTCCCAACTTATGGGAGAAATACCTCATTTATTGTTTTAAGGAAAAGGTTTTAAGCTCCTCCCTGTGTTCTTATATTGATTTGTTTTTTTTTTACAGGACTGGACAAGATTGAGTTCCTCCAGAGCCACGACAACCAGGAGATCTACCAGAAGGCGTTTGACCTCATCGAGCGTTACTTCGGCGTGGAGGATGAGGACAGCAGCCTCGCTCCTCAGGTGGACCAGGCCAACCAGCAGTTCCTTTTCCCTCAGCAAGAAGCTCCAATGGAGGGCTTCCAGCTCTAAGTCTTCATCAGTGAACCACTCACCCCTGTCCATTTGTATACGCCCCCCTCCCCCCGGCACCCAGCCCATGACGCCGGAGTCATGCCACTGTGTTCTCTTGCCTGATCTCTGCAAGCACACAAACCAACCTGCCCTAATGGAGGAAAGCTGAAACCGTGGCCCCTTCATCCAAGCTTTCCTAGCAGAGGACAAATATTCTCACAGGGCTGATTTTTCTTTCCTGTTTTTTGCTTAGTTGGGTTTTTTTCTGGCCATTTGGGGCATTTCTCACAAACTCAATACCCAAGTGGGGGAACTGATCACCTAAAAACCTGAAGTGGTTTGAAACGTGCACACGTGGACTTGTTTCTGCCGTTTGATAGCTCTTAGATCCTGTTGCCGGCAGTAACCATTTATCTAAATTTCTTTAGCGATGGGACATTCCTGTTGTCTGGATTATCCCGGCCCCTTTGCAGTCCACCAACGGGGGCGTTTGAGGCATAAAACGCCCAGTTTGTGCAGTTCACTGTAGGCACAACTTTCCCCCCCTTTTTTTTATGTTATTTACCTCTAACCCTTATTTATCTTTTTCTTTATAGGTGTTTTTCCTTTTCTGTAAATGGAAATAGAATTTTTTTTTGTTTTTTACAAAAAGATGCCCTGGTTGTTCAGCTTAGGGTTGGTTAAAAAGCTTCCGGCGAAGCAAAGGGAGGACTTTTAAGTTTAAAGGGGAGGGAAGATGTTTAACAGATGAACGTAAACAAAGGAAGGACTACGATTGGAGTTTAGGGAAAGGACGTTTCATTTTTTTTCTTTAACCATTAAAATGAAATCCAAGTTTTTTCCATGACGGGAATATTGGAATATCCAAATTTTCATTGTGTGCTGTGTTAATAACATTTGAATTATGAAGTGATCTATTAAGCAAGGCATAGTTTAGGATTATTGAGAGCCCTCTGCAGCAGCAAACCTAACTTATTTTCATGTCCGGCTGTGTTTAACGGATTGCAAACGTGAAGAAAAAAAAAGGAATCATTAAACCATTCTTTGAAGTAGTGAAAGTTTCATAGCTTAGCGGTTCCAGAGAGCCCCTGGAGGAGGCGGGGTTTGCTGCTCGGCGCCCAGTAGGGCAGGGCCTCTGCAGTCTCATAGGACCCCTGTCCAGACGCAGCTGGTACAGGGAGGTGGCGGCGAATCACTGCGGATCGTTCATGTAAACATTTTGGGTCGGATAAAGAAGCCGGATTAAAACACGGTAACTTTCGGTGGTGTGAATAGTGATAGTTTAGTGACCACGGTGGTGTTTTCTTTAGCGGTAGACTTGATTAAAATTAGCCTCCGGCATTCGACATCACTATACCTTTGAGAAAACGGAGATGACTTTGCATGAGACAGTCGTGCTGCGTGTGGGTGTCGTTCATGTAAATAGCCTCTCCTGCGCCCAAGCTTGGAACAATCTGCTTCTTCTGTGTGGGTCTAAAAAAAAAAAAAAAACTAAGAAAAAAAACACAAAAAAAAAAACAGCTGGAGGTGACTAGCCTAACTGCATCAAAATGACAAGTAACTAATAGAAGTATATTTGGATTTTGCTGGGGTTTTTTGCATTAATGTATATCTTTACTTACACTTCATGCACACTTGCATACAACACCAGCTGAAACACACCTCACATGGATGAGTGGCTAGAAGCAAAGACCAGCTTCCCTTTAAAGAGAGGAAATGTTCTTCTTCCTTTTTCTTTCTGCGGTAGTTATTTGAACTAAATTGATAAAATGTTGCTTAAAGCAAAAATCGTGTTATGGAAACTTGCAGTTGTTTCTAGCCACGGGACGTGTGACCACGAATGGGCGGGGCTTCTGATCAGGTCGGTCAGCGCTGAGCCTCTAGATGAAGCCGAGGTGTGTTTGTGTGAGTTTTGACTGACAGGCGCTGTGTGAGGGAGGAGGCTGATTGAATCTATCAGAAAATGTCCCAATCAGAGTCGGGGAGCTGCTGCTCTGTGGATGATTATGGCGTGGAACAAAATCAGGGTTTCTCTAAAGGAAAAAAAAACTGCTTAGGAGCGTTTAGACTTTATTAAGGTATTAGTAGTAGTGTTATTATTTTGGGGAAAAAAGTAGTAAATGTAGAGGTTCATCTAGCAGGTGTCAAACTAATCTGGTGCTTTTAATGCCTTTGAGATACTGAATGATGAAATGATTTATGGATTCCTTCAAGACAAGAATATAAGTTTCAGTTTATAGCCAATTTTGGGGGAATCTAATTAACCTAAAGGCTCAGATAGATCCATACATCCCCTCCCCACTCAGAGTGGTAGAAATCCTTTTTTTTTATATACCTGAACTGTTCAGATTTATGCAAATTGGTTGGAAGAATGTTACTCCATACATTGAAGCTTAACGTCTTCCAAAACCCTTTTTTGGTATGTATTCCTGGTCAGTACCTCAGTACTGCCATGTTTAAAAGGCGATTATCATGTTTTTGTTTTGTTTTTTCGGGGGGATGTAAAGTTTTCCGAGAGCACTAGTTAAAAAGTGAGGCTGGTTGGTTCCCTCATTCCAGTCTGGCCAGCTGCACACCTTCCAGCTAGCTTGAGATGATCCAGGTTGGATCAGGAGCTTCTTTCTTTGCTGACCTTTCATTTGGGCAGTCACTGTGGGACCTTCAAACCTAGTAATGTCTTTAAACGTTCTTCAAAACAACTCCTGGGAATCTAAAACGATCCTGCCTGTTAAAGTTTAGTTTATAGGTTAATGTTGAAGAAAATCACATATTTTTAAACCATTTCCTGCTGAAATATGCTAGTTCTTCAGACACTTTAAGGATGTATGTATATGTGAGTCTGTAGGAATAATTGTGAACGGAAAATCCACAGGGAATCCAAACTGGTCACCTAGTTCCTCTTAAAATACGTAGGAAATTGTTTCTATGAATAATCCAGGCTGAAAAACAAAGGCATTAAAAGCTCCATATTATTAACGCCGTTCGGACGGTGGGACGACCGACCGCGGCGGGGTTTATCATGAAGCCCAGTTCTGCACCATATCTGCCAGAGGAATGAATAGCAGATGATTTCCTGAGCTTTATCCACAGAGCGCCAGCAGCCCCGGCCGACAGGAGAAGTCAAACCATGAATAAAGCAACAACATCTTACCTCTACCTGACAGAAGTGTAGAGCAGAAGTCTTTGGTTTTTTTGGCCAATTCTGTGCTTGGCCTACAAAAATAATGCCAGAATTGCAATATATAAATATATATATATATATATATAAATAGATGTATAAAAAAATCATTGCATCAACAAGGAAAAAAAAATGTTTATATTTCTTAACACGAAAAATGCACTCCTGCTCACTAAAGTGCCAATCCGACCAACAAAGACTGGAGGATCTTACGTTTCTGTCTTTGACTTGTAGATTATTTCTTTATATCTTTATTTACTTGAATGTGCACATGTTTCAGTGCAAACCATTGCTGCTCTATTTTCCTTATCTTTCAATTTACATCGTTTGCCATTTTTTATTTCTATAAGTGGCATTCTTTAACAATGATGTCTAATTATCTGGGAGGGGTGGGAGGACTGACTTGACGGCACGAATCTTATTTTTTTATTTTTTCCCCTTTTAGCGGTCTCAGAGTCTTGTGGTTCAGAGACCGGCACCAACCTCACTGCCAATTTAATCCACCAAAGTTCAATTTCAGTCCCTCTTCTTTCTTTTTTTTTCTCTCTCCGGAAATTAAATTCAGATTAAAAAATATTCTCCGATTTAATTTTTATTTTTTTGTTTAATTTTTTTCTGAGTTGAAACGTTTAGGATTCAGAAAAAAGTGCATCGATTTACATTAAAAAGTGTTATTTAAACTATGTATGTTCTGATACATTGACAGGGATTCAAACACAATTCTAATCACTTCTGAGAAGTGGAGGAAAAAAAAAAGAACCTCGGTAGAACTCTTAACAGGATGAATAACGCAAAAAAAGAAAAGAATAGGTGAGTACCCAAGCATTTCTGCTTCTCTTCTGATTTTTTTTTTAGGGATATTTGCTTATGTCTAATCAGGCTGCATGATCAGTAGTCTTGTTTATCATAAGTGAGCAAAAGTCTCATATCTAACTTGTCTTCCGTCCGGAGCGCTGTAGGTGTCTTTAATGGAAATATAAAGCCAAACTCGGCTCATTCAAATCACGTCTGCTCCAAATGTTTACAATGCTCTATTTTTTTTTGTTAATTCCTCTTTATATAGCATCACTAACCGGTCCGGACGCATCCTCTGCTCTGGTCCTCGCATCTTTTTACTTTCCTTCGTATTTATTTTCTCTTGTCCATATCAATGCTTTTCTGTTGCTCCGAATAAAACGCCGTACTGTGACCCGACTGGACTTTACCGACGGTATGAATGAGTGACGAGAAACTTTACACACTTCAGCTGAACATGACACACAAACATAAACATGGAGAGAGGGGGGGAAGAAAAAAACTCATACAGGAAACTGCAACGATATTAAAGATGTAAAGAAACTGTATTGGATTTAAAAATTGTTCAGATGAAATACTGTAAGAAAAACCAACAAAAAAAATAAAGTTATGTTTCAACCCTTTGATTATTGTTTTTCATTCTTGCTGACTAAAGGCCAAAATTGGTTAGGCCAATAGAACCAATGGAGACCAAATCTGATAAGTAGGGGTGAGTATTGGTATTGGTGTTGCGATACGATACGTGTCACAACACGATATAACAATATCACTATATATTACTGTATTTTATCAGGTATCAAAATTAAATGTATGGATAAAAAGGCACGTCTGCAAATGTTCATCTGCAGATACTGGTAATTTATTTTGGTATCCATGTTATGTGGGGTTTGAGTCGGTCTGTCTTCCACTGTGACTGCCTCAACTACAGATATGGCGCTGCGCCGCACAGCAAAAGGGCGCCACAGCGATATCTGCCAGAGTGGCGGTGCAGAGGTACCCATTGAGCAAAAATTGGTTGGAAAGACGACGATTTACATCCAAAAGACGTCTACATTTGGGTGAAAGGTCAAAAGCCGTAATCTTCAGATTGTTGAAAAGACGTTGAAAACTGGCTTTGTAACATCTTTTATTGGACTAAAGTGGGACGAAATCAGACTAACCAAACAGCCTGATTTTCAACTATTTCTGGACTAAATCAAGAATATGATGGACCGACCAGATTAAGTGTAAAAATCAACGTCTAAATGACGTCTGGTGTTTGGGGTGGTAGCCCATTTTCTCATTGTTTTAGGTAAAAAATTATTGAATTTAAAATTGATACTAGGAATTGAAAGATCGATATATATAATGGGCAGCTGAAAATCATGATATATATCGCCAAATAAATTTTTGTTTTTTTCAAACCCCTATTAGCCGTCGATTTATTCAGAATTTGGCTTTTAAAAAAGCATTGACCATATACTGCAAAGAAAAGTTTAAATTCAAAAATAACTATTTGTTTTATGCCTTTCATTTCTTTTTTTTTTATTCTCCAACACCCTAAAATAATATCCAGAGCCACAACTTCTTACCTAATTACCCACACCTACGAGGTTATGTTTTTTGGTCGTGTTTGTTTGTCTGTTAGCAGGATTAATTAAAAAGTTCGGAATAGATTTTAATGACATTTTTACTAGGGGTGCACCTCATGCCAACTAACCATTTAATTTTGGTGATGATCCAGATCATAATCTGGATACAGGACCTTTTTTAAAAGATTTGCTTATATTGTGAGATAGGGGCATTTAGGGGATCAAGCAGTTCGACCCTAAACCAGAGGGTGGCAGCAGAGACTATTGACAGCTTAACTCCAGAAGTATTATTGTGAATGCAAAAAAAAAAAATGGAAAAAAGGAGCTGTCACCATCCGATCCGTACAATCAGCTCATTTGTGCATGCGCTACCAGATATCCATCCGGCTCATTCTCCATTTTACTTCGTAAAAAAAGAAAAAAAACTGAATTAAGGAAGTATACAAAACTATATTGTGTTAAAGGTTAAAATTGTATTTCCTGAGAAAATAAATGCCTTAAAATCTTTTTTTTTTCTTCTTTTTTCACTCGTCGCTGTCTGATCTCACTGGAAATTGGATCCTATGCTCCTTCCAGGAGCTAACTTTTTAGATCAGTGGATTTAAACATAAATCTGGTCTTTCTGAGTTTTATGTTTTCCTTTCTTGTTAACCTTGTGGGTACCGGTATATAGCGCAAAATCTAAAGAAAGAAACAATTA